TGTGCTTTATCATTCATTATTTAAACTATCTTTATATTAAAAAATTTCATCGAAAATTTCATTAAAGAAAAATGTGTGACTATTGTGCGACAGGCTTTTATTATATAGTGCAATGATGTGCATCGTTTATTAACAAACTATTCCATTGCAAATTCGTGTCCTGAAAATAATCGGATTATCATATCAATAATCCTTATGATTATGATTATTTAAGCTAGCATAAATTATAATTCTTTCCTTTTTTCATCCTCGATGCGAATTCATTTGGAAAACGGACGGAAATATCGGAAAACAAATGTGAATAAAATACTACTTGACAGTACTAATTGCAACAATAATGACAGTTAGTTACAATTATTCTAAAAGAAAAATTGAAGCATTCTACATTGTATTAGTGAATTTCTATCATCGTTCTCTATACGGATTAATTGGAAATATCCATCCGGAAATATCGGCAAAATAACGTGAATAAATACTGTTGATTACATTTTTCATAATTGCCTTAGAGATTAATGAAAAAACGGATATATATTCAAATAAATGCATGCAAATGAAATTCAGAAGTGCAGAAGTGTTGCGAACTTTACGGAGAATTAATCCGTTCATAAGTAAACCTTTTCTTTTATCATTATTGTAACTATCGAGACATTACTGTAACTATCGAGAAATATCAGAGAAGAATGAAAAATGATCAATTTTATATGAAGTAAGCATTTCGTCATTTAAAATTACTTCGATTCAATTATTTCTTTCATTGCATTTTGATGGAATCATTATTGCCCATCATTTAGTGAGGATAGATAATTAATTAATTAATTAATGCTTACTATCTTTGTTATTTTATCAAAGAGTTTTCATTTTGAAAGCACACGTAATTATTTGACATAAAAATTTTGAATTAAGTGTTTGAAGCTATTTTTCTTACGAAATCATCAGATGTGTAATGAAGTAAATGAAATGTGTTTAAATTTAAACTTTACTCGATTGTTTATTGACATGAAAAAAGGGTCAATGAGTGATAAGGGACACAACAAAAGGATGAAAAGGGAAAAAACAAGAAGTATGTGTGCAAATAAACTAAATACTAACAGAGAGAAGCAATAAAAGAATGATATGATAACAAAAAAATGGAGAGGGAAAAAAAGATACAATGATATGATAATGTAGTATGATGAAGTGATATGTAATGTGATATGAAATGATATGATAGAAGGGAAAAATAGCATTCCGATAGAGCGATAGAAAGCGAAAGAGGAACAGCGCGATAATGTTATAGTTTTCGCACGTAACGTATCACGTACGAAACACTGATATGTAGAATTCTCGGGACGATCACACCATTCCAGTACAATATAGGGAAAAATTATTGAAATACAATTTTTTGCGTAGTAATGCTTAATAAATGTAATATTATTTTAAATCTTTGTAAGACCAAATTTAAATGTAAAATCGGCGTATGAATTAGTCATTCATTCGATGTAAAGGAATCAACACCATACAGTTGTCATGTCTATCCGTTTTGTGATTCACTTTATACGGAAATCAAATAGATACATAATAACTTTGGAAATCAAACAAAAAAGATATATGATCAAATTTCCAGTCTACCTGATAATAGGAAAAGTTATCGTTCAATAATTTTTGTCCATTTTCTGCTCCTAAATTTAACAATTTGAAGTTGAATATGTGGTGATATCCAGAAAAATCACACATTCATTTAAGGAAATCATTATCATATTATCAAATGGGTAGATCTGCGTGAAATATGCAAATTTAGAGACAATATGCAATGATTGATGTTGAAGAAACTCAAGATAATTGTATGACAATCGTTAAAATTAATTTCATTTCTCATTATTTATGTCAGATAATTCATTCTTAAATAGTAAATAAGAAATTTAAAGAATAAATAAGCAATTTAAAATCAAAAAAATAATTCATTTGCCAAAATTTTTGAAAATGAATAATAATAAATTGATTCAAAAAGAAAGTGACACAACTATTAGAATTTAGATGAAATTACTATCTAAAAAGAATTTGTGTCAAAACAGGGACTGAATAATAGAAAAGATAAAATGATTAATGATTGTAATCTATAATTTAAAACAAAGGAAGAAGAAAATAGAGAAGTAATAGAAATTAACAAAATATGCAAATGATATCATTGATTCATTATTGATTATAACAATTCTTATCAAATAATATCAGAGATTTATTCCTCAAAAGAAAAATTGATTTCTCGAAAGAAACAAAAACTTTAAAATTAAAAATTTTTTTTTTAAAAAGTTAAGATCGCATAGATTGATGAAATACATTAATTATATTAATTATGCCAAATAAAATGTATGAAATTGATTTAAATTAAAGAATGAAGAGAAAAGAGAAGGAAAGAAAAAACAGCAATGCTATTAAAAATAATCACATTCTAATCAATTAATTATTCAATTAATTATTCAGTTGATAAATTCAAATTAATCAATTAAAATTAATGAATTAATAAAATTGACATGTTGAAGTTGAAGAATTGAATTTATCTTTTCTTCTTTTTTTGCATAAAATTTATAAATATGAGATGAAAACAATCAATACAATATTAATGCAATTAATCCGATGATAATAATGCTGAATGATAGATAACCCGCATTAAAATGATTAACTACAAAAATCATTTCATTAATTGGATACGGTCAAGTACCGTATTTTACATCATCTAAGCTATTCGAATAATCTCTACTATATTGATTATTTCTCGAGTAATTTTTTTTTGTTTTAAAAAATTAATACTAACATAAACACACACATACACACACACACACACGGATACACAAACATAAACACACACACACATATAGATGTGATACTTTGCTCATAAATAAGGCCTGAATAAATTTCATGTGGTAATTCAAATTCATTTCAATTCTTTCTTTGATGAAATTAGTGTTGAAATTTGTGGCATTAATGGAAATGTCATTTGAAAAAAAGAAGAATTCAATAATTTCAAATTTTCTTCAATTGCTCGAATAATAATACAATAGCTAAATAACATCGAATATCGAAATCCCTTTTTTTCTCATCAAAACATTGACGAAAATATTTCACTGACTTTTTTCAGGAGAAAAAATACTTTCACTCCTACGATATATATATTATAGTTTATCCGGTAACTTGAAAGTATCCTGGTATCATAGCATATTGAAATATGAAATAAGGCCTAGGCACCTTAAAACTGACCCAGCATATTAGAAAATTTGGAAAATTACAAATAATATATTTCAAATTTAGCAGAATTCCTTGCTTGTTATCTTTACTTGTGTGAAAATTAAATTTAAACGCAAAATAGGAAAAAAAAGTGCTATTCAAATAATTTCAATTTCATAATTATAAGTTTCACTTATCAATCTTTCTAACAGTTAATTGATAAAATAGCACAGAACAAGTGAGTTAGCTATTTCAATAAAATTTCCGAAATTTCAAATGCATAATAATTTTCGCAAAAAAAAAGAGATGATGAAGTATAACATCACATTTCAAATATATTAAATTACAATCATTTCAATGACAAAATATGCAATAGCAAATTTTAATTTGCATAATAAAAGCATTCGAAAAAATTTCTTCTTTCTATGTTAACTGAAATTATTTATGAATGATATTACAAGATAGAATTAATTATAATATTGAGAAGAGAAGAGATATTTATATTTATCCATAAGTTGGTTTAATTATTAAAACAAAGTGACTGTAACATAAAACAATCACAACAATTACTTTTTTGGGAAGATTGCAGCAAGAAATGCTTAATGCTTTTTATAAATATTGCTTAAAAATTAAATAATTAAATAATGAAAATTTAACAATACTATTTTTATGTGAAAGGATTTGTTTTTGTCTTTTTAATTAAAATTAATAGTTCAATCTTCAGAATTTTCAAATCTTTAAAATAATACCAATGTATAATATACTGTTTGGAAAAAAAATAGGCCTCTAAATTTTTGATAATTTATCCATGCACAAAAACAATCGATGATTTGATAATAATTTTTTCCTTAAATGAAAAAAAATTTATATCCATTAGAGATTTAATACTTTCAAATTTTTAATTAGAGGAAATAAAATTTCAGGGAAAACAAATTCATCTATATTAATTTGCATATAATTGTTTTACGTAAACGATGAAATTCGAATGAGATTTGTGCGTATGTGTTGGAACAAATTCGTGTCATAATTTAATTCGCATCAAATATTTTGCTGAAATTTTATCAATAATTAAATGCTATCCTTTTTCATGTTTGATAATCAATTTGTATATATAGTCAGTTGATCATTAAAAGAAAAAAAGATATCAGATATCAGATAAAACTCTCAGATTTATGCTATCCAACTTTTATTTTATAAGCATAAATAAATATTTCAAAAAATAAAAAAGAATGTAACCGAGATACAGGAACTAATTAATTATTAGTAATTAAAATGAATTCTTCTTTCTTTTTTTCTTATCAAATTGATAATGAAAAAAATTAATGAAAAGTGAAAATGAATTTTTATCAAATCGTTGAAAAAAATAAAATTCAAAAACTGATCGTTAACGTTAAAAAAACATTTTGATATATTTTGTTCACAAAAATTTTGATGATAATTTCGTTTATTTACTTTTATATCTAAAATTTGATCAAATTATTTCATTAAATATATATAATCTATCAACTGACTTATTAATATATGAATGACTTACTCTATCTTAATTTAGTACATAATAATAATAATAATAATAATAAACATTTCTTAATTATTTCCGGAAAGAGAACAAAACAAAAAGAGAAAGAAGATTGGAAAACATTGAAAAAGTGATGAAACAAAGAAAAAAAACTTGATAAAATATTAGGTAACAAAAAATAAAGATAATGTAAAAACAATGACAAGATGCATGTATTTCAAATGACGATAAATAAATTTTAGACATTTACATGAAAAAAAAAAACGAAAGATAAATTTGATTACTTTCATATACCACTTTTTGAGAATGATACCCGAAGATGCGCATTTTCAGCTAATTTAAAATTATGCATTTCGATTAGTGCATTAATCGCTGTTTCCATATCATTCAATTGTAGCAAAGCCATTTTATGATCTTTTCTAAAACAAACAAAATTTGTGCTGAATTAATTAATTCCTTAATAACACAATTCAAATAAAATGAAAAAGTAAAGTTGAAAAAAAAATGCTTTGAAATTTTTGAAATGAATTTTATTGTTGCATAGAAACTGATGGATGGTGCGTTATGAAACAAGAAATCCAACAATAAAATTTGTTCTTTGAAAGTAAGAATTTTTCAATTTTCGAATTATAATAATACCATTTGCAATTATCGTTTAATAATTAATATTCAAAAAATAAAACAAAAATCATCTTCTTCCAATTATATGTTAACTTTTTTTAAAACTTATAATTCTGTAAAAAATTTTTAAGTTTTGAAAAGCTTTCTAAAAATTACAAATTTTTGTGATTGTAACTTTCTTTACATTCAATTAATCATTTCGAGCGTTAAAGTAATTTTAACGAATTAATTGCAACGCTTTAAAGCGGTCACTAACAATCAATTAGAAAATAACAATGTTTAAAAAAAAGGATCATTTTGGAAGAAAGAATTGAAATAATTTAAAAACATACGGGAAAAATTTAAAGCCTTTGGGGATGAAACCACGTTGTTCGAAAGCATTTGTAAGAAATTCTTCCGTAATATTTGGTGGAATATTGGAAAGATGAAGTGTTGAACTTGGTGGATAAATATTCAAATAATTCTTGCTACCAGGTTTTTTGAAGCGATGCAGTGATGATTGCGAGTAATCACGTGTTAATCCAGCATCCGGTTGCCCTGAATAAGTTTTTTCTTTTTTCATTAATTCATTCATTTCTTTTAAATTAAGTTTAATTAAATTTTTCGTAAACATTTTTTTGAGAGAGTGAGAAGATACTTTCTTCCTTCCCTCTCACAAAAGCAAAAATTAAATTTTTAGAGTGATATCGTAGCATAATAAATTTTTTAAATTAATCGATATAAAAGATAGTTTCTATTTAAAAGTTTACAAAAGTAATATATAAATGATTACCTTCTTTTGGCATCTGAACATTGCTATGCTTTGATATTGCAACACGAATTTGCTTATCATGCCAGCGAACTTTATCAAGATGCTGAATAGCTGAAAAAAATTAACTATAATTCTGATATTATGCATCAATAATAAAACGATTTAGTATTACTTCGCATATGATATACATGATGATAATTTAGCATTTTTAGAATAAATTTTAATGGAATATCCCTCATTCATAATAATAATAATAATAACAATTAATAATTAATAATATTGATAATAATAATAATAATTGATAATACAATAATTAATAATAATAATTAATAAAAATAACAGCGATAACAAGAATAATGATAATTAATAAGTAATGATAATTGTTATTGTTATATTACATCATAATAATATAATAATAATAATATTATTAGCATTATAGCAACGATAACATTAATAAAATATTAACTATTAATAATAATTAATAATTTAATAAAATGGGAGAATATCAAATAAGATCAGTAGAGATATTCAGAATGAGAGCCATGCATTGATAACTGTACTAAACAATTCTAATTTTGCATAAACGAAATGTTTCAATTTTTCATCGATGAACATTAAAAACAGTTGCCTCAAATTTTCCATCTTATCATTATCAAACAATTAATTAATTAGAATCATTAATTAGTTCAAAAATTAAAATCATTAATTACTTCAAATTGTTTAAAATAAATGATTGAATTAAATTTACAACATATAACTACTAATGAGAGTAATTAGAGAAAAATAAAAAATTTGAAAAAGAGCAAAATAAAATAATAATACAAACCAAGCTGTGCTTGTTGTGGTTCAGCATACTGTATTAAAGCATTGTCTTTTTTATTAAAAAGAATTTTCACTCGATGTACATCACCGTATACACCTGAAAAAGGTAAACAAAAAACTTTTATCATTTTTGATTGTTCTATTAGATTTTTCTATTCATTCATTAATTATTTTAACCGAACTTTTTAACTATTATTTCATAAGTTTGGATAATAAAAAAGAAGAAAAAGAAAAGAAGAAAATTTTGAAAGAAAATTTTAATTTTTATTAAAATCGTTTAAATTTTAAATTAAATAATAAATGAAATGATCCGAAAAAAATGAACAATTATAGGAATTAATTCAGAATTTATCTTTCCGGATTTATTTTTTGATTGAAATTATTGAAAACGGAAAATGTGGAATAAAGCAGTAGCACATTTAGCGGAACCATTATAACTACGAAAAAATAAGGAAAAAAACCGTACAGCTTCTTTGAGCTATATGAAAAAGTAACAGTAACTTTCATTGCTAATGAAAAAATATAATGAGAAAATAGAGCGAAGAAAAAAGTTTTCCAGTAAGTTTTGAAAGCTCCGGAAAATCGGTTTCTTTTTCTTTATTTAAATAGGAAAAAAAACTGAAATATAGAAAATGAGAAAAAGCATATGTATAAATCTTCTTTTTGATTCGCAGTTAAATTTGAAATTCTTACATAACAAATATGTTTTATTACAGTAAGCAATTCAGGATCTGTTAGATCTTCCGTTTAAATGATCCGGAAAAAAACATTCTAATGAGAGAGAAAAAAAGGAGAAGATAGAGAGAGGAAATAAGAGGAAAAGGGATTAAAAATATAAAGGATAAACCAAAATTAAATGACTTTCGCCACTTTACGACATTAAAAATCTGGACCCAAAAAATCGGAATTTTTAGTGTTTTCCAACAATACATATCATTTTCCGGAAAAATAATTTCCTAAAACTTATTTTTCCCTTTTTCCTTCTCTTTCTCTTCTTTTCGTAAAAATTATCCCTAAAATTAAAAAAAATAAATTCAACTATTCCAGGATAGACGGGAAGTAAGAAGTCATCTCAATTTCCTGTTTTAATTAGGATAATAATCTAACAGATCCTGAAATATGCTTTTTACATGAAATTTGTTTACGTTATCAAAAATAAACTAAATTACGTTTAAATTTATGCTAACTAAACGTTACCATTATATTTAATCAGTCATTCAAAATAATTTTCCTGTTAAATTTTTAACAGGAAAAGAAAAAAACCGGTTTAAAAAATTTTACTGATGAAAAAAAAATAGGAAAGAGAACAAGCATACGTACCGAAAAGAGTGAAGAGAGCATCTGGCGTGACTTTCTGAAAATAGGACAGAGATAGTGTGTGTATCCGACAGTCTGTCTCTTTCAATGTGTGAATAGAAACTTTTTAAAGAATAAATAAAATTAGGGAAAAAAAATTAAATAAAAATAATGGAAATAAAAATAGGCATAAAATGCTATTTGTAGAAAAATAGAAAAGTTTTAAAATTACAATTTAAAAAAAATTAATTAATTATTTTAATTATGAAAAAAAAAAGAATTAATATTTGATGTAAAGGAAGGCGTTATGTTACTGTCATCCTTTTGTTTTAGTACAAATAAATGCAACCGGAATAAATATAGTCGAAATTATTATTCGAAATGGCATAAAAAAAACGGATGGCATAATATATTATGTATCAGGGCTTCTTTGGTAATAAAATACGATTTGATTTTTGGCATTAATTTTGCATATAAGTGACCAAGTGACCAATATCATAGCAATATGAAATGTTAAACTTTGAATCGTTAAGTTGATAATAATAATAATATGTTTGGTGATATTTATCAGTAAAATGATTTTCAAATTGTATGTTAATTAAGAATTTTGAAAGGATTATTTTCTTCCTTCCAAAAAATTCCAAAATATTTCACCGATAATGATTAATTAAATAACACCAATGTATTGTATTATCAACTTAACGGTTCAAAGGTTAACGTTTCGTGTTGCTATAATGCTCGTCATTGGTCACTATTTATATGCAAAATTAGCACCAATATCAATTTCAATTTCTTTTTTCCTTTAAATATGCTCAATAGTTATGAAATTTTTTTAAGGAAAAAAAGATGAAATTATAAAAGTTACGAAAAGTTTATTATTTGCCTCGAGGCAATAAATAATACGAAGCATAAGCAAAATGGTTATATATTAATAAATATCAAAATAAGTAATAAAAGCAAAGTGGTACTAACATTTTCATTCAAGTTGGAGACAAGCACAACGGATGATACATTGAGAACATTAACATGTGGAAAACGAAGTGTTGCAGCGGTAGCATTAATCATTGCTGCATTAGCTGTTACCGGACTTGTTGCACCGGATGCAAGAGTTGTTGTTAAACCAGTAAGAAATGGTGAAATTCCTGCTGATGATGCCAATGCATCTGTAAAATATCGTTTAATTCATAAAAATTTCTTTTTCGATGGATTTTTTTAAAAACATTACCAGTTTGTGGAAATGCGGTAGCTTGTTGTTGAAAAGCATATTGTGGATTTGTTGCACCAAATGGAAATGCAAACGGTGATTGCACAAGTGATGCAATTGTTGGACCTATTTGTCCACCTGTTGCCGCTGATACTGAAATATACAATTATTAAAATTCATGTCAAAAAAGACATTTCCAAAAAATTGTATGAAGAGAAATTGGAAAATGGAGAAGTCTTTTCTTCTCATCACGGAGAAAGAAAATAAGCTAAATTGTTCAACCGGAAAAATGCAGTCTGTCAATTACACATTTCCGTAAATTAGACGTTTACACGTAGATTACACGTTTTCATTACATTTCTCTTGTTGCTTCGTTTTTTCCCTTCGGGAATATTTTGACTATCATAGTATTTTCACCAACTACGCCAATACAATGATCGTCAATATAGTGTGAAAAGAGAGATATGAAATTGAGAAAATGATGAATTACTAATCTTTCACTCAAAATTTACTGCTTCTCGATAGCATTTAAAATCTATTAGCAATTTTATCAGAAGCTTCATTTTAGCATTTGCTACCAACAGATGATGATGATGGTGTAATTTTGAGGAAATAAAAAAAAACAAACCAAGATTAAGTTGTTGTTCAAGAGTTAATTCACCGGACGGTAAATTTGGATTAGTATAATCACGACTTTTATCATTATTGTATTTAACATTAAGTGTAGCAAGTTTGCTGTAATCAATACGAAGACAACAACATCCATTGTAAACATTTTGACCATCTAATGATTGTCGCGCTAATTGAGCGCTATTTGCTTCACTAAGTTGTACCAATGCTTGAAATGTATCTAAAATGAAAACAATAATAAACAAACAAACAAATAGATAGAATATGATAGAAGCAAATATTTGTGTAAACAAAATGAATAATCCAATTCTTTGCCAAATATCAGTTTCTTTCCCTAATAGTATATCAGTTATATTCATTAAGCAATTATGATAGGAATGAAATTCAACAATGTTCAATAAATTTGATTTACTATTTATTTCATTAAACTTTTTTCCTTTTTCTCTCTCATACTCTATCTATCTATTGATTATTTCATTTATCAAATTCTTGCAAATAAGATTATTTTTCAAATAGCTAAATGATATAAATGAATCTGAAGAAATAATTAATTAAACAGCCAGCTAGTATTTATAAGCTGCTTTCTATGAGATGTTAATTTAGGCAGTTAGGCCAATAATGTGCAGCTATGTCCACCGATAAGAAATGAATTATTTTGAATGTTTACAATGAGATGATTTTATTCTGATAATATCTATCAACTATAAATCATCATTTTACACTTGCACTTTAGAAGAATAAAAACCATTAAATCAAAATAACTGAAATTGCATTTTACAGCTACGGTAATTAAATTACCGCTACCGCGGCTTCTATGTAACTGTAAAGTGCAATTTTAATTATTTTAATTTTATGATTTTTATTCTTCTAAAGTGCAAGTATAAAATACCTTAATTATAAATTATGCTTAATTTATACCAATGCTTAATAAAATGTATGTATGTGTTTAAAAAGCTTAAAAAAAGATGAAAACATCTAACTATTTTTATTAAATGTAATGATCCGTAGAACTTTGCCATATCGGGAGAAGATTTGATGCAGTACATCGAGAGTTACCGGATATAGCATATTTTCTATGATAACACGTAGCACTGAATTTGGTTGTTGTTGTGTACATGCTGAGATATCCAATGCGGATGCACTAATTGGAGCAGTACCGGTAGCTGTTGAACCGTTACCCAAAACTAACAAGTTTGATGCCTGAAAAATATTTCAAAATTAAATTGTTTCACTCTTTTTCTCTTCTACTATCTTATCCCATAAAATTATATTAAATTTTAAAAAAAAGAAAGAGAGAAAAAAGTCTCATTGATATTCATTAGCATATCTGTTTAGAAAATATTTTAAAATAATTCCTTTAATTATTCTAAAATGAAACTGTCATTTATGCTTCCTATCAGTTTGTATTATTACTTAATGTCATCATTAATTAGTGACAGCAATATGAAGATGTGAAATTTTTGAATTAAAAAATATGAAAATATTTTAAAATATGAAATTTTACAATTAAAAATTCAATTGATCACTTCACATATACACACACACACACACACACACATACACATACACACACACATACACACATATCCACACACACACACACACTATGTATGTACATAAATTATTTCAAATGAGATAATTAAATTTTATACTAGATAAAGATCTTATCTTTAAATAAATATCATTTTTGAATAAAATAAATCCCTTTCGTCAGAAAGTATTACTCTTTGTTTTGCTAAATTAATACTAAAATTATTACATCCAATTCGACTAATATCAGAACTGTAATATTAGTGATAGGATTTGTTCAATATATCTAATTTTATGTTTCGGGCAAATAATAAGGCATTAAATTCTCATCTTTATATGATTAGATATGACGCTAAAAGTTTAAATTTAACCAATAATATTCCATATATATATTTATAAAATAAAGTGTAGAATTTTGTTTTTTAAATGTCTGATATGATTAGGGAGCTTTTTGATCAGAATGAATGACAGATATAATTGACATATTGAAGTGTCAATGATTATATCCAGAGGATACCATTTGTTCCTGAGGATCTTGTTGAGATTGTGTTTGTTGTGATTGTGATTGTTGTGAGTGTCGCACCTGATCCATCAATGAATGTTGTCGTCTGTTGCAGACAGATTCTTGTAAATTGATAGTAGTTGATGATGCGACGGCAATTCTCGGTGTTTGTTCGTTGTTCGAATTAGCGGTTGGATGACGATGATGATGATGATGATGGTTACGACACTGGTGACGATTGCTGATATCAGTAGCAATGATAAGCTGTTGTTGCGACGAATGTTGCTGCTGACCAATTATCGGTCTTATAGGTGATGCAGCCATACATGCGGCTGTAAAGGAATGAGCTGTTGGAGTAATTTCCGATATGTTATCGGAAAAAGAGTTATGGTCAAGTTTCAGACACGTTTTTTTTGAATTTACAGGTGTTATAGATGATGATGATTCAGAGATGGTAGTAAAATGATTGCCACGATATAATTTACTGTCCGATATAGCACCGTAAATCGTTGATGATTTACGTTTATTACAAGTATTTAGTGGAATACCGGTAATACCAGGATTTTTTATGATATTACCGGAAAGAAAAGTAGCGGCTGCTATAGCAGCTGTATTAGATGGTTGAAAATTAGGATATTGTTGATGAAAATAGGTTCTTGTAGAAATATTTGCGTTAGGATGGCTAAGAAATGCAGCCTGTGCTTCACCGGCTGGTATCAATGTTGTTGTTGCGTATCCGGAGAGTGGATAAAATGTTGAAGTATTAATAAAATTTCGTGATTGATTTAAATTATCAAATGTTGTAGCAACGGTATGTGGAAACAGCGTTGCCGTGGACGATGTTGGAACTGATATAATGCAAGACGGTAACGTTTTGACGTATTACTACGTGTTACTAATTATTGTACTGATAAGTGAATTTTTCCAAGTGATTGCAAGTTCAAGAGATCAAAAATTTCCTTTTCAAAATTTGAAATACAGCAAGGAAAATTATATGAAAATAATTCCGTGTTTTGATTTTTTGTTTTGTTTCTTTTTTGAAATAGTAAATGATAATAATAGATGTAAAATAGATAGCAGCAGTTGATGATTGTAGAGATTAATCTCAAATAGAAAGATACCAATTAAAAGAAATAGTAACAATAACAACAATTTATGGAATGTTTTATAAATATGGCAGATCTCTTTAAATGCGGAAATGAAATTTCGAAAATCTGATTGTTTGATTCAGAAGAGATAGGAAAACACGGAAGAAAATAATAATGATATGCAAATATCGGCTAGAGCATATATTAATTAGTTAATAGTTTAGAAGTGAATAGTAACCTGTATTATAATTTAATTTACAATCAGGTTACTGTTACTGATAAAGTAACAATATCAATAACAGTAGTAACACTAGTAATGATAACAGTGGCAACAGTTGCAGTAGTAGCAGCAGTAGCAGTAGTAGTACTAGCAGTATTAATAATAATTACGATAATTAGATATTACAGAAAAATAAAATTTTAAATAAAGAATTTGGATGAGAAATAAACAAACAATTTCGATTTAGTAATAAAGGTGGAAGAATTGGAAAAATAAAATACAAAAAAAAGAGGGAAGAGATAGAGGAAGATAGGAAGAATTAAAATAAAATGAAAAATAAATAGTAATAGGTAATAATAGATTAATTATAATATTATAATAAGGCAGTAATAATAATAATAATTTTCTTTAGAATGAATCCGTTTGATAATAACGTATCCTTTCTCTTTCTTTCTTTCTTTCTCTCTCTCTCCCTTTCTCTCCCTTTGTTTTCGTTGAAATAACGTCCAAAATATGCAAAATATAGCAATCTGTATTCCAATAATTTTCACTGATATTTGCTTTCGTTTCAAAAAATACAAATAAAAATTCAACCAAACGAAATCTATGAAAATAATCAGAATTTAATAATTGAAATTAAAAAATTGAAATATAATAAAAAGAAGCAAAACGTATTTTTCTTTTAACGAATAAAAATATCGTCGTCGTATTTCTATCAATTATCAATCGCAATCGCAAAAGGTAATATGAAACCAAATGGAAGAAAATGAGAGCACAAATTCTTTTCTATCCTTCCTTCTTTTCTCAACAAAAATTATATTTGAATTCAAAATCCATTCTCTTTTCTCTTTTTCCCTATTATTTATTATTCGATCATTTTCTTCGATCATCCCTACTATACTATTTTCTACGATCATCATATCAAAAAAAATTTCATCCATTTTCCTCCAATTGATTAAAATGTAATAATATCAATGTTTGTGATAATAATTATTTAATAAAATATTTTATAGTTTACATTGGTCTTGGAAAAAGAAAAGAAACGAATAATTTGATTCCTTTTTTTTTCATAAGCCAATTTGAAAATGAGAAGAAAAAGAAAATGAAAGAAGAAGGTATTAAAGAAAAAATTTTATAGCACAAAATTTTCCACTTTAAACATACAACGTACAACATACAACATACAACATACAACATATAACGTACAACATACAACATACAACATACAACATACAACATACAACATACAACGCACAACATACAACATACAACATACAACATACAACGTACAACATACATATTATTACACATAGTAAATACTGTATGAAATTTATTAAATGTCTAAAATCTACATGACAACCTATTGAGGAAAAACTTAATAAAAATTTATTTAAAAAAAAACTTTTTGGAAAAATGTCTACTACTATGTATGGTCGTCGTTTGTCATCATTGCAAAGATTTTTCTTTTTCATTTTTTTCCTCCCTCTTTCAACATTCTATTTCTCTCTCTCACTCTTTCTCTCTTTCTCTTTTTCTCTTCAGAATGATGATTTTCATCACTTTAGCACATCAATAATGATGACCTCTCGAGTTTATTGCGATGCATTTAACATTCAACTGATCTTCTCATATTATCTGGCTCTTAGCCAGGCCATATTTGTGACCGGTTTATTTGAAATGCCACTTACAGACGGGATATCAAATTATAGTTTATTGATCGGTCAAATATTCACCTATGATTAATGATGATAATAATTAATAATATCCGTTCATTGATCCGATACTTCTATATCAGTTTAAAATTCAACATCAAACATCAACTTATTATTTCTTTTCTATTACACTTTTTTTTTCTTCTTAGATAAACAATATGTTAGAAGTAAACATATAAATATTTGAGTATATTATAGTTTATCGGTAGGAAAAAAAACTGAAAAGAGGTAATTTGTAATAATTTTATTTTAAAATTTAAAATCAATCAATAAAGTTTCGAAATTTTAGGCTAAAATATTTGATGAATTTCATAAATAATTAACCGATAATGGTTCTCTTCCGTTCATTTCTTTTGCGCAATATATTCGGGAAATAAGTCAGAAAACCGGATTTCCATATCAGGGATTTAAATATAATTGGCTTGCTATCTTGCAATGACAACAGCACTACGATAAATTATATCGTTAATTTATGCAAACTTATAAGCAAGGAGTTTAATTATTAATTTTTTATTAAATTTAAAACTTTTTTAGCAAGCTGATATAAGGTGACGAAATTGATATAAGTAACCTTCAATGATTTAATCTTATCATTGTCAAGTTTGATGATACTACTATTAATTAGTAATTCTATGCTTAACGGATTAAATTATAACAATAATTTACATTTGAATATGATGATGAATAAAAATAATAGCTATAAGATAAAGTGTTAATTTCACTAACATTCAAAATTTCTAGTCGTTTTTTAATTATCATCAAATCAATCTAAATGCTAATACGCAGACTGAAATAAATTATTGCATGAATTATTGTTGTATTTCAATTTTTGTATAAACTTAAATAAATAGAAAAGCTTTATGAATTCTTACACAACATGAAAGGGAAGAAAGAATATATGGTTGGTGGTTGGCAGGTAGAGGAAATTTTAATATGAAAAATTTTTTATCATATCAATTGAGTAGGAAAAGATAAATATAGATATGCCAAAACAATTTGACAAATATAAGCGCCTTATCATTCTGATCTTTACATACAATTTGGGAATATCTATTTTCTCTCACAAAAGCGCTGCCATCAAAAAACGGAAAATAAATTTTGCGAAAAAAAAACGTTGCACGGAATTGATCTAAACTGATTTAATACATTGTTGTAATATGGTAAAGGAAAGTTTACCATATTATTAATTTTAGTGAAATTAGTTCTAATTAAATAATTTGCAAATAAAAAGAAATTTTTTTTAAAGTTGTTTTTTTCCATTGTTAATAAAATCATTTCTAATTCACAATAACTATATCAAATAGTTAAATTAATTGGAATTAATATTTATAAAAGAAATTATGCATAATTTTAAGCTAAAAAATAATTGAAATTAATATTTGCAAAAGAAATTATTGCGTAATTTTAAGTTAAATTAATTGAAATTAATATTTGCAAAAGAAATTATTGCATAATTATAAGTTAAATTAATTGAAATTAATATTTGCAAAAGAAATTATTGCATAATTTTATTATAATTCAATGCCATTCATTCCTTCAATACTATCAAATTCTATTATCATAATTTCTTTTTTTGATAATATAAAATAAAAAAATAGTAACGAATGATAATCACAATTTCTTATATACTATAAATAAAATAATTTGTATTTCGGAAGAAATAAAAATTTTTTAGGAATGAGAAAAATGAATTATAACAGTTGGAGAGAAATGGTTTTTTCATTCTCATTTTCTTCGATTCGTTCACAAATATTATTCATTTAATATTTCTAAAATGAAATAGAAGAAATCTTTGAGGAATTTTTTGAGAATGAAAGAAATTAAATCAGCAAATGAATGCAATATAAGAAAAAATAATAATCAACCATTTTGTATTAGAAAATAATTAAATCAAAAAGTAAATAAATGAAATATTCGGCATAATGTATTCTATTGACGTTAAAACTGGAAATAATTAATTATATTTCCCATTCAAAATGAATAATTAAATGAATAAAGATTGTGTTTTATGCATGTGTATGTGTATGTGTGTATGGATGTTTGTATCTGTTTGTTCTTTATTTGTTTATTTTTGTTTGTTCATCACTATAAAATAATAATGATTATGTATAATGATTAAATGATTAATCGTAAAAAAAATGAAATACAAATATCACGGATCACTATAATGATGAAATTTAATTACTAAAACGTAACAATACATGTGTATTGATTAAAATGTAGTTTATCTTAATTCATTCATATACTGATAAGAGATATCTACATGATAATGATCGTGTAAAAGTTAAAAGAAAAAATATAAAA